GTTACTGGGCCCACTCGAGCAAACTGATGAACAACAGGAGGACCGTGACCATAACCGTGACCTCTGGGACTCCAATGATTTTTATGTTATTCTTCTTGGCTTCATCCCGATTTTCTCTTGACATCTGCTGGTTCATTTTGCGGCTCTTTTCCATTTTCTGCTGTTGTCTAGAGATTCTCTATACCTCATCTTGGAGCTCACTGATTCAGTCCTAAGCAGCTTACTCTGCTGCTGAGGCCTTCCACTGAGTTTTTAAATCACCTACCAGGTTTTTCAGATCTGTCATTTCTGTTTGTAATTTTGTTTGAATTTTCCACATTTCTGCTCTCAAGTATTTTATTGGTGGTGCATTCCATTGTTTATTTTAACTCTATGCATCCTCAGTAGATCCCTTCTAAATTCCTTGTCAGATAAGTTGTCTATTGCACCATTACTGGTTGGGCCATCTGGGCTAGTTTTTTTGTAAACTAAACTTGGTGGGCTTCTGTGTTGCTTTACCATTGGGACCTGTGCAATTTGGACTTTCACGCTCATTGCTACTGTTGTATTTTTTGGTGTAATATTAATTGAGTTAGGGTTAATGAGTTAATGGCCCAATATGTTTTTAGTGATTAGGCTACCCCAGTTAAAGTTCCATCTAAGAGGCTAATTTATGGTTCTTATGGGATATGGAGGGGGAGAATAACTCTCGGCTGGGTTAGCAGCCGCATCTCCAGACGCCACCCCCACTGGTCTCTACCTGGATTGGCAGAGATCCAGTGAGTCCTTGAAAGTTGTGTCCTTGAAAGTTGCCCACCTGGGGTCCAGTCCCTCAGAGGTCTGAACTGAAAACTGGTTCAGACCACTCCCATCCATGGCTATGGACACCACCCCCACCTGGCCTGTACTTCTATCACAATTTCTTTACATATCTGTTCTTGGACACTTAGGTTGTTTTTTGATTCTTGGCAATTGTACCTATGTCTGAATTGAATATGGGGAATAAAATATCTTTTGAACTAATGTTTTTGGACTCGGACCTTGTATATCAAGAAGTAGAATCGCTGGGTCATACATAAGCTCAATTTTTAATTCTTTTAGAAGCCTTATACTGTTTTCTAGAAGCGGAACCAGATAAAATTCCCACCAACAGTGAATCAAGGTTCCTTTTCCCCTACATACCCACTTTCACTGGTTGATCCTACTTTTTTGGATGTGTACCAATCTCACTGGCATGAGGTGATATCTCACTGGTGTTTTTATTTCAATTGCCCTGATGATAATAGATCAAGAGCACTTTTTCATAAGTCTTTTTTAAGTACACTGAAAAACTGGCAAGGGGCAGCTGTCTAGCTTGGCTCTCAACTCAAATCACCCTCAACTCATAGTTACTCCTGTAGCTCCAGATTCTGGGCTCACCTGTTCTCTTGGCCTTACTCTCAAGTGCTCAAGACAGTCCTTCCCAGGAGCAGTGTTCAAAGTAGCTGGACGAAGGCACCATTGACCAGGGACCTTGGGGGGAAGATAAGTTTGCAGCAATGTGTATGGGCATGCTCCTCACGATGTGTAAGGGAGTCCAGAATCTCAGATTTAATACTTTATAATAGAGAACCTTGAAAATGGAACTGAATTAAATACCAACACTACGGTTCAGTATATTTTGAAATCACTTGAATTTTACCTTCTTCCTCCATCAATATCCTTTTTTGTTATGGTGTCTTTAAGTCCCAACCTTTGAGGAAAGAATTTTAAAATATGCCACCATGAAAACCCAGGTATGCAGGACTTGGTGACTGAAAACTCTGGGTTCAATGGAACTGGGAATGGGGATCCTCCACCTGTATCCCCCTGCTTCCAGCAACTCAGCAATCACACCCATAAGCCACCTTTGGCTTGTGCCAGATAATTTTGTCATTGGCCACGATCCAGAGTTGCACTGTCCTTCTCTCCTGGAAGGGAGCATAACATGACACATGCCATAACCATGCTACTGGACACTGTGCCAGGCTGTTTCATTGGGAGTGCCCCAGAGAGGCATGGGCCCGCTCCACGGGACCCAGCCCCGGCAGCCATAAACCTCCAGAAGTCAATCCTCACCATGCTCATGGCTGCTCTCCCCATGCTCGACCAAGCCTCATCTAGAAGTGAATGTATTTCTGGACCGCATGGCTGGAAACAACTAAACCTTACACCACCCATCTCCAAGAGTACCACACCACATTTGATGGGGTTTAAAATAGGATGTAACTAACCTTAGGGGGAAATATCTTTTTTTTCAGATACATACATTTATATAAGCACACAAAGCTCAACCTTTAACAATATGTTAGTGATCTCTTATAGAAGTGCTTAATGGCCCCTGGGTGAAATACAACAATCTTCACACTCTTTCCTCTAAGGAAAGTTTTTTGGAGCATTTTCGGCGGTTTTTCATAAAAAGAAATACAAAATATATTGTTTCGGTTCTACTTCGGGGCATGGGTTGGGGCTCGGGATGAAAACATTCGAAATATGGGGTGGTGGGAAGGTGTAATGATGGTGGGAAGGAGTAACGGTGGTGGGATTGGTGTTCAAATATTACAATCACAATCACAATCACAACCATCCTGACATGTAATCAAATACTGTGAACTACTTTATAAAATTAAGAAATTTTTAAAAAGGGAAGGGATAGGGCAGGGGCAGAGTGGGGTGGCGGACAGTTTTAATAATAAACAAAACTTTTAAAAATAAAAAACACACAAAATAGAATGTGCCAATTTTTTCTGTATAATTTTTGGTCACATCTGACGATGCTTGTGGGCCATTCCTAGCTCTGTGCTTGGAAGTGCGCATGGTGTTGGGGATCAAACCTGGACCTGCTGTATGTGAAGCATTCACTTATTCCTTTGAATTCTCTCTCCCCACTAAAATTTGTGAAATCCTTTCATTGAGTCAAATATCATTCCACCACCAATCTGTAACTAGATTGTCAAATCACTAGTTGGTAAAAATTTAGCATTAACAGAAGTTAAAAGTAAAATAAATTAACTGTAGCAAAAAACAGACAAATAAGCAAAACCCAACCAGGTGCTAACTTGTTTGACTGGAATCCTCTCCCTAATCTTTGCTAGTTCTCTTTCTTTATAACTTCCTTGTCTCCATTTCCCTCCTTCCTTCACTGTGACCAGCTTTGCTAGCTTTCCCTTTTCCCCTTTCGTTTCTTTGTTGTTCATGACCTTCCAAATTCCATCTATACTCCAACATTTTGAACCTATATGTTTAATATTAAAGAAGAAAATGAAACATTTTGTGGAGAAGTTTTTTCTTTCTTGCACAGAAGTTGGTGGTGAAAGGGAAGGGTGTTGGGGTCTTTGGAGGAGGTGGTGGGTACAATGGATGTGGGTGTGGTGTTGGAATTATGTGATTTTTAAAAAAAAAACATCATTACACTATTATAAATCACAGGAACTCAATTTCTTTTTTAAAAAAGAATGACATTACTGGAACAAGAGAAATAATATAAGGGTTTAGGCATTGGCTATCTTGTGGTTCCACCCTGACTCTTTAGTTCATACTTTGGTCTCCTGAGCACAATCAGGAGTAATCCCTTAGTACAGAGCCAGGAGCCAGGAGCCAGGAGTAAGTCTAAGTCCTGAGCATTGTTAGGTGAGGCTCAAATTTCTTTCCTGCTTCTTTCTAATCTTCCTGAATGTATTGGTTTTTCTTCTTCATTTCACCCACATCAGGCAGTACCGTGTACTACTTTTAGATATCTTTTCAAAGACTGTTCCTTAAAATAATTGTGGCAAGCAGTTATGGCACCTTCCTCCCAAATAAGATCTCTAGAAATGTCCCTGCTAAGAACTGAGGCCCCAACCACATGACTAAAGAGGCCAATTCAAGTTTTGACCTTCAGCATGTGGGATCAGTCCTACATGTCATCTCTGGGTATCCCTGACAAAGCACTTGAGAGAATGGCTGCAATCCTCTCAGTCTCTAATAACCTAAGTGAGGTTGTTAGAAACTCCAAATGCTTGAGTTTGTTGGTTGTAATCTTTATATAAATATTATTCAATTGTGGTGTGGTGTGGGGGTAGAGTTGGAAGATGGAAATAAACGAACAGAGCTTAAACACATCATACACACTACGTACATGTGCACATGCATGCACACACATAGACACACACACAAAGACACACAGCCCTCTGAGTTCTTTGCTGCTATTCCTTCAAAAGTGAAAAGAAAAGATGTGAAAGTGTATGTGCAGATGCAGGAATGTGTCAACTACAGCTAGGCATAAATAGTTTGTGGTATGTCATTGAATTTTCCTCCCAGGACTTTTATAATTTTAGCTGTACTTGTTTTATTTATTTGGAAGGGAGTTGGACAATACCTGGCAGTGTGTGGGACTAATACTGGCTTTGTGCTCAGGAATCACTCCTCATTATGCTTAGGGGCATGCAGTGCAGAGGATCAAACTGGGGTTGGCAGCATGCAAGCACCTTAAACGCAGAATTATTTCTCTGCTCCTAGAGTTAAATATATAAACTCTGTGCGAAATTTCTTTTGTTTGTGACTTTGAACCTGTCCCCCCACAAATTTCGTTATTAATTCAAGTGAATACATCCCCCAAACTGCAAAGCAAATGGCTAATTTCTAAGAAAGACACTGAAATGATATGAATGGTTGATTTATTTCACTCCCATCCCGTCAAGAGAGAGATTTTTAAAATTCCAGTATGTTAAGGTGAATGTATGTATGCCCTCCAAACACAGTCAATTAACATAGTCATGAACAACATCAGATACCTAAGGAAAGTTACCTGGAAGCCGCACCACCACTATTAATCCCCAGTAGCTAACAAGTAATGAGAGGAAACTCATGTAAGCAGGTATTCAAGGAACCTAGGCTTATTCATCAGCCTAACCCCAGGCCTCAATAGAGGACTTGTAACTCAAGTCCTGCAAAAAGCTCACCAAAATCCCCATGATGCCTATCTCCATCAGCCCCAATACATACACATAATGGTCTGTGCCTACCTTGCTGCATGGGAGAGTAGGCATTGGTCAAGAAACGGAAGTGCCCTTTGTTGTACCAGCAGATCAGAGACATATTCCCCTTCATTTTGATCCAGTGCTGGCCCCTGACAGGGGTAGTGGTGGAGTTCGTGAGCATGGACAGTGGCAGGCCAGTGCAGTCACTCTTCCTGGAGCTGAGCAGTCCGCAGCAGTAAATCCCTGTGGGTGGGAGGGATCCCAAACCAGATACACATCAGAGATATAATCACAACTGCACCCTGCACCATGTTCAAGGACAGATAGCTACCCTGTTCTGAGGAAAAATGAATGCTCAAAATGTCATTCTAGAAGGGTAAAGTTGGGGATTCTTATTCCAAACAAGCTATCTTCCCCAGTACTGGCAGAAGTGTATTTAGAATCACATAGTAAAACTGTAACATAAGCAGCAAAGTACTAACGGTTCTCTTTGTTAGAATGCTTGCTCTGTATCAGGCACAATGGCAAGCGCCTACTCTCCCCTCAAATTCTAGAAATGTTTGCACTCAGCAGGTTATTGCAGAAGAACTGCAGCTGCACAAAGCCCCATGAAGGGCTTTACAGCTAGAAGGGCAAAGGTGATATGGGACACGGTCCATGTGATAGCAGTTCAGTCACCCTAGACTGTTCACCATAATTCGAGCAGCTAAAGGAATGTCCAGCAAGTTACCTGTCAACACAGATGTCATAAGCAGCTGTGGGAGGAGGAGAATCATCCCCCTGTGAAGCTTTGTGAGAGGAAAGAATCATGAAAAAGTTTGCAGCAGACCAGTAAGTATAAAGTGCAGTGACTGGATCAAGGAGTCTCCTGAGGGAGAAGGAATTGGAGTAGCCTCTAAGATGCTTAGGATTTCATGGGGATGGGAGGGACTATGAGTAGAGACCCATACTCTCAAGACTTCCTCTGTCTGCCCTCCTCACAGACTGACCCGCTCAGTTGACCAGGCAGCCACAGGGGGCCACAGAAAGGTTCATCTCTTGGTCAGACTCTAGACTCTACTTGGGCTCCTAAAGGGAATGTGAGAGACTTTCCTGATAAAGATCCTGGAAAGTCTTGCCATCTGTTCTCATCTCAGTCCACTGAAGCCTGACACAGAACCCCAGTAACAGTACACATTCTCTTAGTATAATTTACCCATTGCTGCTTCTTCACCCATGTTGGGAAAATATCTGGACCCACTCCTTCCTAGAACTGGTCAGGATTCCAGTATTCCTAAGTGTACTGATGGCACATGAGTGTATTTTCTCTTTTTTGGGTCACACCAGGCAATGCACAGGGGTTACCCCTGGCTCATACACTCAGGAATTACTCCTGGCAGTGCTCGGGGTACCATATGGAATGCTGGGAATTGAACCTGGGTCAGCCGTGTGCAAGGCAAACTCCCTAAACTCTGTGCTATCATTCCAGCCCGGCACACGAGTCTTGTTGCTTGAGGGAAGCCCAGACATAAAATAACTTTTTAAAAGTACCATTGTAAAACAGGGGAGAACTATATGAATGAGAATAACCACTTTTCAATCACCATCTCTGGTCTCCGTATACACAGGCAGTTAAAGAGCAGATGCATTTTTGTAAGTGTGAAGAATATCTGAGCATTACTCTAGTTTTCATGATTTCTGTTGCTATAAATTAGATAAATGTCTTGGCTGGCTGTTATTTTAACCATAAATCTTTGGGCCCTAAGAGGGACAGTTAGACTCTCAGCTCAGTTCTCACCTACAATTCCTTTTTGTTTTGTTTTGGGGTCACACCTTATGGTGCTCAGGGTTACTTCTGGTAATGCTGGGAAAGTGCCTGGACTATGTGGTGTCAGGGATGGCACCTGGGGCCCTGGGCTGCAAAGAATGCATTCAAGTCCAGTGAGCCATCTCCCTAGGTCTACAATTCCTTTAACTTTGGCTGCCTAGGGGGATATTATAGTGCAGATGCTTAGAAAAGCATGCGTGGTTTGAATGGCACCAGTTCTAACCTGTCAAAGTCCTAGGGGATGGGGCAGCCATCTACGTGGCCTGGTAAGTGCTAATCATTACAGCTAAAACCCAAGAGATCCTGCTTGGACTACAAGGCTTAAAGACTTTGATACTTAATTAAAAAAGGGGGGGGGGGCGGCAATGTAATATTTGACTGCTCTGGGAAAATTCAAATTACATAAATTTTATGAAATTTTCACACCAGAAATTTCTTCTCTCTTGTCTTCTTAATTCTCTGAGCTGGGGACCACCCCTTTCTAGATCAGACACAGGTCAGTAGGTTAAGTTCTTAGGGAAGCAGATCTGAGGACCTGCATCTTTGCTCTGCTTCACATGCTATGTGCACCAGACCACACTGATGACTGAACTTTACTACCAGACTCCAGTCAATGGTATACAAATGTGCAACTGGGACTCCATGAGGCACATGAATGCTAGGAGGGTAGTTCAAGGATCCCCAAGAGTTTCATTGCCATACCCATGGCACCCACATTTGAGCTTGCAGCCGTGGTTCTCTCCCATGCTTCAAGAAAGGAAGGCATTTTTTCTGGGAAGGCTGGATAACATGTATTAGTGTCAACTTTCTTCGACTTGCCCACATTACACAGTCTGATTCTCCATGCAAAATTCTCTCAATAACTTAACAGTGTGTCCTTTTGTGCACTAGACTTCACATGTCTAATTCCAGGCCTGGAGGAAAACAGTGACCAGGGACTTCCTCCTCCTTGTGGTTTAGGAGGAACCCACAGGGACAAGGTCAACGCCCTTAATAAAAGAGAGCCCATCCCTTCCCTCATGGTAGCACATAAATCTGAAGTACATAAGAGGGGTCTCATCTTGACCTGGCCTCCAGAGTACTGAGAAATTTCTAATGTTTGTAAGTCCTCATGTATGTGGCATTAAAAAAAAATAAAATCACAAATAAACTGAAACACTAGAACTTTCTGGCTGGTCATGTCTTTACAACAAAGAAAAAAAAAAAAGATGTGCTCTGAGGTCAGGGATGTGGCTCAGAGGTACAGCACCTGCCTTGCCATGTGACACCCTGGGTTCAATTCCCAACATGCAAAAACAAAACTTGGCACCATCTCTTTGGGCAAGAAATAACTTAATGGGTTGAGCACATGCTTTGCACACAAGAGGTTCCAATTTGATTTCCAACACCACATGATTCCACAAGCACCTCCAGGAATGATCCCCCACAAGCACAAAGCAGGGAGTAGCCCTTGGCACTGCTACATGTGGTCCTGAAACAAACAAACAAATATGGAATGAAGACAGGTGGAGTTTTGCTCCCCAAACCTCAAGCCTGGAATCCTTACAGCTCCCCAGTGCTCAGCAGGGTTCAGATATGCTGCCAGCTGAGACTGATCCGAACTCTCAGGGAAGGTCTCTTTGCTTGGCATCTCCTGGTTTATACTGCCCCTTCAAACCTGCATCTCTGGTTCTCTCTCACCGTGTCTCTAGGGAAGGAGAACACTATGTTCAAAATAGTTTTCCACTTGACTGACCTTGCTTTTCAAACTCCTCAAACAGTGTCAGGCTGGTGATGCTTGGTCCGGTGAAGATGATGTAGTTCTTGCCTGTCGCATTCCTGCAAAGGTTCCGGGCCACCATGCTGTGCAGCTGTGGTTTGTTCTTCAGTGTGTCCAGTCCATCTGGGCCCCCGCCTTCCTTCAGGTGGACATAAATCTTTAACAGAAATATACAGGGTTCAGAGCTCACCAGAGTGCCAAGCAAGAACCTCAAGAAGCACAGGCTTCTGTCACAGGCCAGAAGTGGGGAGAAAGCTACTGTCTCTTTGGGTTACTGTCATGTGTTCAGCTCAGAGAAGGTCCAGGTCACTTCCAAGGTCATAAAGGAATCTGACTGCACAGCTCAATTCTTCAGTTTGGAAATATTGGGGAGGGAGTGAGGGAGGGAGTGAGGGAGGGAGGGAGGAAGGGAGGGAGGGAGGGAGGGAGAGGGAGAGGGAGAAGGAGATGGGGAGAGAGAGAGAGAGAGAGAGAGAGAGAGAGAGAGAGAGAGAGAGAGAGAGAGAGAAAATAAACACGGAGACCTGGATCCTGAGGTCAGAGCAAACATATCACCAAGTTCTGGAACAGATAAGTGACTTTTAATAATAAACATAAGGGGATAGGAGAAATGATGTTAACTGTGAATTTTCCACAGGCAGAATGGTACGATTCATCTCACCTTGAAAGCAGGAGACAGAGTCAGGAATTAAGAATTCACCTGGGGTTTGAGGACCATCACAGAGGGTGTGCTAGAATTAGCAATCAGTTTCCACACTTGGTTCCACACAACATCAAAAGAACAGATGTAGGAACTGAGAAAGATTCAGAAGGAATACAGCCCTGACTGGAAGAATGAATAACTAGGGCACCAACTACTGTGGTCCTAATGGGAGAACAGTTCTCATGCAATGTTCTGAGTGTCTTTGCTGGCAGCAATCTAAACACAGTGCATATCTCTCTGCCTGTCGGTTCTTGGGGAACAAAGCTGACACTTGGTAGGAAATGGGGTTAACCCTGAAAGTCCTTTGTAGCATAAAACTGCTGAGGGCATGCAAACTGCCACAATGCCTCAATAACAAAATATGAAATGAATTATAGAGGATGACTGTAAGTCACTTACTTCCATGTTGGGCTAAGAAGACAATGGAATCTTCACCTGTAGTAACGACAAGGGTGGCAGCAGTCTTTTCTGGTCAGATCGTGAACAGAAATCTTCCAAATGCTACATTTTACAATGGGCATATCCACCATACCCACCCTTAGTGAAATATTCAGTAAATATTATCAATTCATTTTTGATAAATATCAAACAATAATATCTGATGCTTCTGAGACAGATAAAAAGCCAACTGATGTGGTACTAATTAAAAAAACAAAAAATCAAAACCCAACAAAACCTGTGAATATCAATGCTTTAAAAAAAAAACTTGTAAATATTAATGCTGTCCCAAACACTCCCCTGTGATTCCTTGAAAGGAATGACTTCTTTGCAACTATAGGCAAAGGCTCTATGATACATAATGGTTTCTTCAGGTAACTCAGCAAAACTCCACCATTCCATTTGGGGGTCCTTTTGCCTTTACCATCTCAATTCCCAGAAAAGTTCTCTTTGGTAGAGATTAAGACACTGAGACAGAAAACCCAACTGTTTCAGCCAGATGTGACATGTGATTCTGGCTCAATTAGATTTTCTCAGACTAAGGACCTTTTCTTCAGCACAGCCCATTTCTATGGCTATTCTCATGGATTTCTGCTTGGGCCCTTACCCTCCTTTCCCAGATATCTTAGCTGAACACTCCTCACCCATGCAGGACTTGTGTGACAAAGTTCATCTTAGGGGCAGTTATACTTCTGTTCCATATGTCACTCTAAAATCCTACATCTACACCAGTTTTATAACCCATAGATGAGAGGTATGCTGCTAGAACTTTTTAAGCCTAATCTTGATGATTTTGCCAAGATCTTCCTGCAAATTGGGAGCAGTCATTAGCATACTCGGTCTGAGGTGGCTAAAATTAACAGGATTACACTGAAATCCTTCAACCTAGTTAAAAATTGTAGTTGCATCTGGTAAAGGATGTGTGACTCAGCAAGAACAAATGTTCAGCAAGAAGAAATGTGACTCAGCAAGAACACTTTTTTGGTTTGACTTTGGGTCATACCTAGTGGTTCCCAGGGTGTGATACCTGGTGCACAGGGGCTGTTCTTGGCTCTGTGCACAGAAGTGACACGTGGCAATGCTTGGGAGACCCTATATGGTGCCAGGAATTTGAATCGGGCAGCCATAATGCAAAGCAAGTGCCTTATGCACTGATGAATATTTTTAGAAAACAAAAGTAAAGGGGCCAGAGAGATAGCTTAAGGTGCTTGCCCTGCATGTTGCTGAACCCAGTTCTTGATCCCTGAGCACAGAGTTGAGAGTAGCCCCTGCAAATTGTCGGGTATGACACAAAACCATCATCTCCTTCTGAGAAAAGAAACACAAACTTTGGATATAGACAAATGTAAGTCACTTACTTCCATGATGGGTTAAGAAGGCAATGGAATCTTCACCTGTAGTAACGACAAGGGTGGCAGCAGTCTTTTCTGGTCAGATCATGACAAGAATTCTTCCAAATGCTACATTTTACCAGGTGTAGAGAAGTGCTTTGGTGTTGGTGTACTAGTTTTCAAGGGCTGCTATAATGTAGCACAAGTCTGGGGTGTGTGTATGTGGAGTTAGGGGGAGGTAATACATTCATTATTTATTTCCTCATAGTTACATAAAATAGAATATGAGGTCAAGAAGCTGGCTCTCTGTTCAATGTCTTCATTGTGTCTGTGTCCTAATGTCCACTTCCAAGTTTACTAATCACATGACCTCACTATAACTTAAATACTTTTTTAAAAGATGGGTATATTCTGCAGTACTGAGGTTAGTTAAGATTCAACATATGAACTGGGAGGAGGGAGACACGTATCAGCCCATAACAGATGGGGTGATGGTAAGCTTGGAGAAAAAGCTATTTCTTATGGTTAGAGAGCTGCATGTTGGAATGCTGAGTGAGATCTTTCTAAGGCAGAAGAAGGATAAATGCATTAAAATGGTAAAGAGCAGATCTGTTCAGCTCCTTCTAACCCAACTACCCAGCAATGAATGGTCCCTCAGAGACACTCCAAGCAAACTAAATGGCTACTTGAAAAGTCTGAACATTGAATGAAGGCTGGGCTAGTGTTGGAAAGGGCTCTCTTAACTTGAGATTTCTCTCACACACTTTTTACCTGGATTTGAGTATCAGAAGTGGGTAGTGTATCTTAGCATCAGGGACCAATCAACAAACCAGCACAAGACACCAAGTTCAGATGCACCAACAAAGCCAGCCAGGAGGCAGACCCCTCTCCTAATGAACTCAACCTTTATTCTCAGGAAAATTAAGACTTAAGAAAGGAAGTCCGAATGTGGCATGCTAAGGGTAAGCTATACCAATAACTGCCCAGGCCTTTTAAGCACTAACTAGAAAGGGTCACGGTGCCTACATTCAGAAAACATAGATATCTCCTAGATCTAATAATAACCTTTCTAATGGATTCTTGCCTACAGCTTTTCCATAATTGGTTACATTTGCAGCTGAAACACTGGCTGAGTGAGAGCATTATAAACTTGCTTTCAACAACAAAGTTCAGTCTTTTAGAAGACAGATCTAACAGGTCCCTGGATAACCTGAGTTTCAGAGTGCAGTGTGTCTTCAGACATCATCCTCTGATTTCCAGACACATAATGGTGTGCTCTCCCTCCCTTCCCATATTCTTGAGGTTGGGAAAGGGCATGGCACATAGAGACTGCAAGAATCTCAGTTAGTCTTTGGTCTCAGAGTTGTGGAAAGGAACCAGTGTACCTACCAGGGAATTCTCCACACATCTCTGAGGACTTGGTTATTGGCTTCCTCATATATATAAATATATATATATATATATATATATATATATATATATATACACAATCAACTTCAAGCAAGGGACGAGCTTCCTGACACAAGCTCATCCAGGCAAGAACAGTCAAGGCCAGGAAGCAGCTCCAAATTTCCAACAGCATGTAATCTTTCTCAGGAATTAGAGCAGAAAGACATCTGTTCAGATCTTGTCCAAAATTACCTTCATCACCTCTCTAGGCCATCGGTAAGACACGTGCCCACTTTAGCTAGAAACAGGCAGCATCCGGACTGTAGCTTTCATCAGACTCTTCCTTCATAAAATTTTTTAAAACTCTATAACTGCATTTATATAAAGGAAAGTGTATTAAAATTTTACATGTTGAATTTCTTTCTTCAATTTTCAAGTTTGGTTTCATCCCTTATGGATTTTAAAGGTAAAAAAGGTAAAGGCCCTCCCGTTGATCATCGATTTGCTCGAGCGGGCCCAGTAACGTCTCCATTGGAGACTTTGTTGTTACTGTGTCTGGCATATCGAATACTCTTGGTAGCTTGCTGGGCTCTCCGAGAGGGGCGGAGGAATCGAACTCGGGTCGGCCATGTTGGCTGCGTGCAAGGCAAATGCCCTACCGCTGTGCTATCGCTCCATGGATTTTAAAAGAAACAGAAATGTTTCCATATTCATGAAAGGTTTTAAGTGTCATAAGCACTGTTCTTGCTCTTCCCAGTGGAGAAGTCAGCTCTGGGCAAAGAGGAGCGAGTAATGGATCCTCATCTGGACACGTGGAGAGAAGAACCTAACAAGGTAGTGAGTTGGTGGCTGTGGTAGGAAGTAGTATGTGTAAGGTGTATAAGTACAGTTGTGATTATGTTGAGTTTAAGATGCCTGTGACAGCTCAGCACCAAGTAAAGGGTGCTTGGAGGGCCTGCTCAGAATGGGAGATGTGTGCTGAAGGTAGATTGAACATGATGGCCACTACAGACTGAACATGATGGCCACTTAATGCCTGTATTGCAAACCACAACACCCAAAGGGAGAGAGAGAGTAAAAGGAAATGCACCTGCCACAGAGGCGGGGGTGAGGGGGATGCGGTGGGGGTGGGTGGGAGGAATACCGGGAACATTGGTGGTGGAGAATGGGCACTGGTAGATGATGGGTACTCGATCATTGTATGACTGAAACATAAGCACGGAAGTTTGTACCTCACGGTGATTCATTGAAAAATAAATCAGTACCAATTCAATCAGCCTAATCAGAATAAATAGC